ATACATTTTTTCGAATTCAAATCAGATTTACTTAACCATAAATACCTAGTAGAAGTAAGAACGTGTAAATCTTTCCGCCATTTTAGTAAGTGCAAAAGACACGCATACCGATCCCAATTTTGAATATCAAAACTATTTAGAAATGACTTAACCTTAGGTTTATTTATCCTGATTCCTGATTCAACCCGAGAGGTTTCCGCAAATGCGGCTCGTGACCAAAATATGTTTTATTACGAATTTCAAAGCATCCTTTATTTGTGAATAAAATTATTCGGGATTTTTCAAAATTCAATTAATATCTATCGAATTTTAAACGATTTTTTGAAAATAGTATGTTTACCTCGTAGGAAAAGCCACATTCCTTCACAGTCGTCCAGAAATGTCAGATTTTTCCTACTTGGTAAACAATATACATACTATTATGTCGTCTCTACTTTATTCTGTATCAATTAGCGGAGCAACTGTACTAATACAAAACGCAGCATTGAATCAATTGTGCGGTATTTATCTATCTATATATAGTGCAGGGCATAGTGGCGCATTCGTTTGCAAAATTGTTTTAATTCGTAATTTTTTTAAATGTTCGGAAGGCTTTCCTGATTATAAAAGTGTAAGATGACACTCGATATCTGTTGATGTTATTGTTTAAACAACGAAAAATTAATTAAGCCAGAAAAAATGCATTTTTTGCAATGAATTAATTTTTTTTATATTCTTTAGGATATTTCGAATAAAAAAAGTCCTTACGTCCATCAACGTATCTTTAACCCTTTAATTGTTATGAATGTTTTAAAATCCGAAATTGACGAAAATTCTAATTTTCTTGAATTAAATAATATACCTTAAAATTTAAAATGCTATAATTTTAAATTTTTTACCGAATATTCAAACTATAATAAACAAAATAACCTAAATAAATTTTCAAAATTTTGTTTGTTGTTGTTTTTTTTGCGTTATAACAATATACTTCCTACGCGCGTGTACTTTTAGATAGTACTTCTATCTCACTTCCAACTCAATGTATGAGATGGGTAAGAGAAAGCCCGATGACGCGCTGAATAAATTTTTTGCTGTTTTTCAGAGGTAATAAGTTTAAAAAAATTATTATTAACATTTTTCATAACACTTTGTTATATTTGCCGATTAATAGTTTTGTATCATGCGATTTTTTTTACTTTTTTAGATACTTCTGATAACTTTTTTATTCATTGAAGTTAATAGAAATGTTCCATCCACAAAAAAAATACATCTATCCACGATTAATAATAAAGTTCCCGCAACTATTAAATTTATCAGCCTTTAAAAAGTCGTATAGGAGATTAATTAATTAGACTATAAACCGCTTAGCATTTATGTACTCATCCTCCTTTAAACAAAATATAATTTTGGAATTTGAGACCTGGTGTGTGTCGAGCGAGTGAAATATATATTTTTTATATATTTTTATTTTTATCTCTTACAATTCAAACATTGTAACTTATAGGTATAAAAACCCTTGTTTAGTTTCTACGTTTGCCGCCGTCTTCGGATAGTCTTCAAGTAGAGAGGATATAAGTACTTAAAACGATTTTAATATTTTAATACTTTTGTTAACTCTTGGGGCTATCCGGGGTTGGCGACTGGCGAACAAAACCATAACCGAGGGCGTCCACTTTGTATCAGTTTTAACTCTTTTTGTATTTGCGTAATTATTTTTTTTTTATTGATGTAATTCTATTGTACACCGTAAATGCAAAATAAACTATTATTATTATTATTTATTATTATTAGTAGGTAAAACTCATTAAAAATATGAATCAATTTTTGCTGATTTAAAAATTTATTTGTATGCCTATTGTTGTGATTCATTTTTACAGGTTGCCATAGAAACGACAAAAAAACTACTATTTGTCTAACAAGAGTTTATAATTATTATTGACGATCTCTGCAAATGATCTCTACAATGCCATCCTTCTTCCTTTCACACATAAAAATGGTTTAAAAGGTAGATAAAAATATTAATAATTCAGGTTTAAAAGCTAGGTTTACAATGAATTAGGATTGTAATTTTCAGGGAAAACACAATTGTCGCTGTCATGTCTTGTGAATATAAAATATTTTTTTAACCACTTTGCTCAGGATAGGGATTGGCACAGGTGCAATTTGGTAAAGTAAAATGTGGTTACATGCCTTTGGAGCATATTTCATTTCGTTATCAGATGACGGTCGAAATTTGCAGTGGGCTCTCATACTATAAGGAGAAAGTCATCCTTATTAGGACTCTTCAGCAATAAATGGAAATTCTCGACTCCAGTCTCTAATGCAGTCTGATTAGGACACAAATTTCGATCGAACTCAATTACGGCAAGTCGAGCATGAGTAGAGGCGAAAGTGGTATCGCCATCTATACTTAGTAAGCAAAATCAAATAACATCTAGTGGATATCCACCATGGTTTGCGTTCGCGCCTAGACTTTGATATATTTAGTGGATGTCCATGGGATATTGAATACACGTTAAAAAAATTAATTTTAAATATCTGAACTATTAGCCACAATGGCACGTACAATGGCGTAATTTTTTAATAATTTGCTATATAATTACTATTATTTATGGACATTTGCATGTCTATAAATTACATTTGATGGATATAAAATAGATATCCACCATGGACTGGACATTCAGTGGATATTGGGATGTTCAATAGATATCCAAAGGATTTGGTGTGCTGTCTGGGACGTGTTTCAGGGTTTTTCGATTTTCACATTTTAAGGGGGGGGGGGGGGGGGGAACGGGGGGTGAAAGTTTATATGGGACTATTGATTTTTTTGTTCTCTTTGAAGTTAGAAACATGAAAATTGGAATTGCAGCTACTGACTACAAATTATTAATGACGTGTTTCAGGGTTTTTGGATTTTCACATTTTAAGGGGGGGAAATGGGGGGTGAAAATGTATTTGGGAGTATCTATGTTATTGGTTCTTTTAAAGTTAGAAAAATGAAAATTGGAATTGCAGCTAATGAATACAAATTAATAATGACGTGTTTCAGGGTTTTTGGATTTTCACATTTTAAGGGGAGAAATGGGGGTGAAAGTTTATTTGGAGATATCGATTTTTTTAAAGGTAGGAACTTGAAAATTGGAATTGTAGGTTCCCATCATAAATAAATAATGAAGTGTTTCAGGATTTTTGCATTTTAACATTTTAAGGGGGGAAATGGGGTTGAAAATTTGTTTAATAGTATGTATATATTTTTTTGTTATTTAAAGTTTAAAACATAAAAATTTGAATTACAGCTACTGATTAAAAATCAAAAATGATGTGTTTCATGGTTTTTGGATTTTCACATTTTAAGGGGGGAAAACGGGGGTAAAAATTTGTATAAAAGTATACATTTTTTGAACGTTGGAACTTTAAAATTATAATTGTAATATAAATAAATAATGACGTGCTCTGTGGTTAGATTTTTGTATGGTAGTATCATAAAATAAACTAAAATTAAAAAAAATATATTAAAAATTAATAAAGAGTAATAAAAATTAATAAAAATTAATAAAACTTAAAATTTATTAAAAATTAATAAAAAGTATTAAAAATTAATAAAATATATTAAAAATTAATTAATAAAAATGAATGAAAATAAATAAAAATAAATGAATAGAAATGAATAAAAATAAATAAAAATGGAAAAAATGAATAAAAATTGATAAAAATGAATAAATATAAAAAAATGAACAAAAATTAATGAAAATCAATAAAACTAATAAAAATTAATAAAAAAGGAAGTCATGTATTTTTTATAATAATAACACGACTACATGCGAGCAAAGTCGCGGGCAACAGCTAGTTGTTTATAAGATCGAAGCAATGATAAGTACTATATAGACTAATCCATTCATTCATACATTGAAGACAAGTTCATAAAGGGTATAAGTAAACATTTTGAGAAATTGGTTTTTTCTGCTTTTTGTGCTAGGTTAAATGAAGGTATTTTAATTGATAACAATGTTTTGAGTGGATAAAGGGTATATCTAAAGGAATAATTCACTTTTGTGAATGCTAAGTACCAGATTTGTAAAAATATATTATAGCTAACAATGGATTTACAACAAACTATGTCCCTACCAAGAATTACAACTTTAAAAGCCTTTTACTTACGGCAAATGTGGTTCTACAATTTTGGATTCCACACGCTATGACTTTTTAACTTGGACCTAGGAAACAGCAACAAAAGGCCGTTTAGAAATTGGAAGTTCACTGTAGGTATACTTTTCTTTTCTAAGCGGCGAAAAGAAAGTTGACCATTTGACTATTTGGTCAGATTCTTGTTCTACCCAGAACAATTTTTTTACCAAATTTGCCTATACTTGATCCTAAAAAAACTATGTGAATATCATAGATCACAAATTTCCATAAGTAGGACATTCTTTTGATTCAGATCGAGATTCTAGAAGAATCGAAAAGGAAATGACAAAACACAAAAAGTATTTAGTCGATCATTTAGATATAATAAAATAGGCAAGCAAGAAAAATAGTGTGATAGCAGATCTTATTAAGGATTTAAGTAAAATCCCCGTCGTTACATCTTTTCAACAAAAAAAAACATTAAATGAAAAAATAATGAATCAGTACTTTTTCCTACGACGCTGTTCGACTTCAAAATTAATTTCATACTATCCTGAAAATCATCTTCAACTATGATAGTTACAACGAGAAAAATACATTAAACTAATGATAACTGGCATCAAGAATGCAAATATTCTTTCCTAACGTAATTTTGAAAGACTTTTGTGCCTTTTTAGAGCCTTATGTTAAGTCAATACCGAATTATAATCATAAACAATCCTTGTAACAACTCTCCCATACTCTCATAATAATTTGACTATGTGGAGAACACCTTGCGATTTTTGTGAACAAAATTAGTCTAGTACATGTTATCATTGGATTGAAGATTTAAACCCCCTAATAGACAATATCTCTCTGACTTAAATAGTTGGTACTTATCACTTTTTCTGTTTTAGTATGTCCAATTCCAGGCCAGGGAAGAATAGGAACAATCTACCCGTACGAGTGTATAATAATATGAAGTCCACTTACATTCCACTTACTTACCAAATAGGAAAAAAATCTCAAATTTGTACAAATAAAACAATATTTTAATAGTTCACTTATATATTTATTTCCTTCAAAATTAAAACAATTTACAAATAGAAAGATAATCCACATTAATTAATGTTTTGTAGTTATTTTCCAAGAACTGCATCACAGTACCCACATCAACGCAAGTAAAAAAAAAATAAAATAAATTATAAAAAGTAACTTAACTAGATTAAAAATCATGAGGAAAAAAACAGTCGAGCTGGAATTTCTGCTTATGGATTATTTTTATACAGGCCAGGCCCGGTAATATGACTAAAAAAAAATAATATTTACAAAACTTATTTAATTAGGTTAAAAATAATTGTTACGGAAGTATTAGACTTATGATTGAAAATATGATTTTTTACAGGTGATTAAGTTACTCATGGTAGGTAAAAATGATCGCATTCTGAACATACCGTGTTTACTGGGGAACCAAGAAACCGGAATTATAATTTAGAGAGTTCTTTGTAGGTGAAGTTTAAACATTTAATTCCTGTTATTTTGGTTTCTTCCTCGTATAGTATGTCGTCAATAATAAGTTAAATAAATTAGATAGTTACAGCGAACGCCAAATCTGAAGACATGCTTGAAAACCCCTATAAAATAATACAAAATTACAGTTTGTTTACGTGAATTCTACCATCATAGAAGGGCGTCCCTGGCGTTTGCTGTACCTTTACTTTTTTTCTAATACAACTAGTCAGAATTGGGACAAAATCAAGAATTTTTATTTTTTCTTTCAAATCACCGACGCCTGGCCCATGATGAATTTTAAGCATGGAGTTACTTTGGTTGGCATGATGACACTATCACAGAATGACACAGCTAGTGTTTCTCAGGACATTAGCAATTTAGCACATAATTTCCTTCTTTTTATTCTCGGACGAGTAAGTCAGTTCATATTTTATAACAAATACATTTGTTGTATACTTTATCCGAGAACACAATCACATACACAATAGTTGTTAAACTCAAAAGTTTATATTCGAAATACTAGCCATCCTTTATCAGAAGAGTATGGGAGTGACTATATCATTATTCAAAATTGCGGAAAATTTTTAAACATTCCTGGAATTGCGATTTATTTTTTAAATTAATCAAAAAAATTTACCAGCTATACGAGCCTTACTTGCATAATTTTAATATTAGGAGTCGCGAACAATGAACTTTTTGATTACTAATAATAATAATAATAATAATGAGTTGAGTAATAAAAAAAATGCACAAGTTTAAATTAAAATGCATTAATTTACCTAATACATTTTTTTTACATTAAATTTTAGTATACCACTAATTTGAGTAATTTTGTTAAAAATGTGGGACACCTGTGTTAATTTAGTTCGTATCCAATCTAACATTATCAGGAATATTTTTTTTAATTTTTTTGTAGAGCTGACAATTTTTTTTTTTAATATACCTAACCTACCTAAAAGTGAAAACTACTACACTAATTATTATTTATTCCATTTAAAACAAAATAAGGATTTAAACTGGAATCGTAGTATTGACTATCATTTGTTGGTAAGATTATGGTGCCATTGTTATTACAGTCTTTAAGTTTACTCCATCTGAATGTCCATTTTTTTATAGTTTTGTCAACATTCAGATTGGTTTTATTTTTCTATGATTATTCTCCAGTCTATGGTTTCAAAACAATTAACAAAGCTGGTAAACATATTTCAAGTATGTATGTAAAAATTAAAATTAACTCATTTCAGGAATATTTTAAATTTTCGTTAAACGCTGCCTAATACTTTTAAAATATTTAACAGTTTTTAAATTAGGGATCAAAATCTCTATTAGGTACAAAAGTATAATTTATAGGTTACTGGAGAGTAATAGGTAAGTAATAGATATAAATATATTTAACTCGACATCTGGGAAAATGAGTTTTTTTCATTAAATTGTATGTTAATAGTTATTTACATAACGAGTACGTAGTAAAGAACTTAATCAGGGGACGCGAGGATAATAAGTCCAATAAGTTATTTATTACATAAAAGTTATGCTAAGTTTTATGTTCGACTGTCAAAATTGCCACATTTCACAATTTCTAATAAAAATTTTAAGAAATAGATAGCAACTGCATTTCTGTATTCAATATTAGACACTGAACAATGTCGTACATCAAGCATTTATAGTGCAGTCGAACATAATAAAAATAAAAAGTTTGTCAAGTAGATTTGCGCTTTCTCAAACGACGGAATAAAAATAGGATTTTTGACTATATTTAATTGATTTTAGATTTATTTACTACAAGCCTACTTTTATCCCGTTATTAATATGTACAAACATATACTGCAGTCCCTTTGATGTTTTCAAGGACAGTCACTCTATTAGATGTACAGAGCTGTTGCGGGTACTGGCAGACTGCAAACTAATTACATCTAAATTGAGTTTAAATAAAAGTTATAAAAGGTCTTACAATGTACAGTTTACTTATGGATGCAGTCTTCTCTAGATCATACTCTAATACCTTAACTCTGTATCCTAATAATAAATTCATTGTATTTAATATTTGTCAATGGATTATCATTTTTTTTTGTTTTTTAAGCAGTGTTTAAATTTGTTTTTAATTTTTTTTTCATCAAGCACAGCATAACTTTTTTTTGTTCAAAATTTCAACATGTATAAATATCAGCTACTACTATTGGTGTATATATTAACCAAAGAGTTCCTTGCTCTCGTTTTTTTCTTGTTGCAATTTTTTCTGTAGGGTTCTAGACAAGAATAGATTAAAAATTAATAAGGGGGTTTAAAATCATTTTGACCTATTTACTAATAAATTTCACCAGTGGAAAGTCACATGTTCACAGGAGTGACGCAACTTCAGTTTAAATTCCTACATTCGCAATCTTAAAAATGCAGAAACAAAAATATTGGTTAAATATAATCAATAATGTGATTTTCCAGCTGGTCAATCAGAACACGAATGAAAAGTGTCCTTAATATTTTAAGCAAGACAGAATTTCCTCGCAATGCATTTTTAAGGCATTTTATTTAATAAATATTTCATTAATACTAACTTGAAAATTGCTAATACTCAAATGACCCACATTACGTTACATTTCAATGTTTTATTTAATTCAGAAAAATTACATCTAACATACACTAAGGCCGTCAAATTGTATAGGTTTAATTAAGCATTAATCGTGTTTATTTATAAAAAAAAAGTTGAATATTTATTTTTATTTAAAAACGCGTGGCATTTTATAAACAGCCAATCAACAAGCGCGATAAAAATGTTATAACTGCCCTAAAATCTAACAAGTCTAAAAGAGATTACCTATATATTAGCAGAAGTCAATGGAGATTTTGTAGTAATCCAATGAAGATACCATCGTAACAATTTCAAGAAGTCAAAAATATTATGATTTTAAAATTGTTACCAAAGTCGCTACATTAAATTGCGTTGAATCATTGACACGTATTGTCTACAACACTATATTTGACTCTTTTCTAAGTTAGTGTAATATTACTATATAATTGTAACAAAATCGACATTTAACTCTTAGTAACTTAGCAAAGAGCCAAATAATGTATTGAATGGACGATTAATTATATTTTATAAAGGTATATATGTATATCGAGAAAAATGTGTAATATTATTTTTTAAATCTTCTTACTAGTACCAATATATAAGTTTAAAGCCACGAAATTCTTGACTAGAACCCCACTTTGTTCTTACTTAACGACTTAATTTATATAATACAGTATATTATTCCAACTCCAATGCTACGAGACAAGAGTAAGTTAGATGCTACAGTTATTTTTTGTGACATGAATGAATGAGAATGACATAACCTTTGACTATGCAGTTTTGTTACTTTTATTTTTTATTTAGGCACGACGCCTGGTACGCGGTCGGAACGTGCCTCAGTTGAGAATCCCTTTGAGCCGTCTGGTCCCTTGGGCTGACGCACCACAGTTAGTTTGGGGCCAGCTTCGTCGAGTGAGATGGTGCGGAGTCTACTGATTAGCCTTTCTGGCCGGGCTTGGACATCACTGCAAGACAAATGCCAGTTGCTAAAATTATCAATAAAAAACACGTTAGAAAAGGGAATTATATTTGTGAAAAACCAGGAGATCTGAACATAAAATTTCTACCCTGTTTTCACTAATTTTTTACTAACTAATTAATATCTTCAAATGACTTTAAGTGACTGCTTTGAAAAGCAGTTGACCAGTTGAAAACTTAACAGATGTACACATTCCAGAATAAGATGAATAAGTAACCTAGATAAATAAGAAACTCATCATTTATTTGTCTGGAACATATTTACTCTCTCTTGCTTATGATCTTTTTTAATGATTGTGATACTGTCCACCCATTGGAGATTTTCAAATTAAGTGCAAGAATGATTCATGCCGCCCAAACCACCTTTCCCGTTATTGGACAATTTTGCAATACTCAAGTGCGAAAAAATCGTGGGACTTTTAAATCTAGTATTTTCCAAACAACTTATTTTGTATCTCTCTCTTATCCTCGCCCTAACTACAATTTGGGGTTGCTATGACGATTAGGTACCGCCTGTGATCGTTATTTTAAATACTGTCATCGAATTCTTAATTGTTTTGGCATTTACTTGATGAAAATCCATATTGTTAAAATAAGAAAATCCAAACTTTGTAGATTTTCACAAACACGTTTATTAAAAAAATTAAAATTACACATAACAGTTGTTTCAAAGTACAACTTATTCAAACTGCAGCAAAGTATTTTCATGTTCTAAACGGTAAGAATAAACAAAATATACGTAATTTTGCCTTTCGCAAATGACACACCTAAAAGTATCAATAGCTCCCCTACCAAAAATAAAACAAAATACAAATTCTCATTATTAAAAGCAAAAACAAAATGATTTTTGCTAATGAGTAACTGGAATTCAGGGCAGGAAACATAATAACACATTTTCACAGAAAAACAAACAAGACATTGGTCACGTGACCAACCAGTGTCTCCTGGAGTGTGGGTGCTTTCTTTGGATTTTGGGCTAGATTATTTTTTGTAATCTGGTTGTAAATAATGAGAAAAATTACTCTTACGTGTATTAATCACTTGTAGTAGAAAATGCCTAGTTATTTCAGTAAATTTCACAGGTAAGTAAAAAGTGCTTAAGTTCGTTGTCAGAGAGATAAGAGACATAAAGATAGAAAACGTTCATAAAAACCCCATGCTTAACAACGACCAGCTCTAACATAGTTAACAACATCTAACCCACTATGTGGCGCTTTCATCGATATCAAACAAATAACGCAGCGGGAAATTTGAAAACCTGATAATAAAGGTTGTATAAATATCGATTACACTCATGTTCTGCTAAATAAATTTAATGTAATTACTCTAAATTATTTATTAAAAACAAAACTATACATTCTATTATTGATTAATTATTGTAGATCTATTCACAACAAATATTTTTTAATGTTTGATCGTTATTTTAAACTTTAACCTTTTTGTTCTTATTTTCCAAACGAATGACCAACGGTATCTTATTTAAAAATGTCGAGTACAAACTAAATAATGGGAATTAAAATATTTTTCTCCCTATATCAAATCTTTTCTGTAACGTTTTGAAATCATTTTCTTGTTCTAAAACAATGAATAATAAATAAATACCTACTTTGTGACAAAAGTTAGCTACTATTTGTGTTACTTACATTGCTACATCTTACTTTGGTAAATTAAAGAACGCCACATTGGGGTTGTTAAATTTATTCATGTGGCATGTGTTACTAATGCAATACTTGCTCCACTTATTGCAATATTACAAAATATAATTATTGTCCTCAAATTTCACACAAAAAAAACACAACCATTTCGCTTAGTTTATCTAGAGGATAACACAATCATGATATCAAATTTAAAATTCAAATTCAGGATTCTACGATATACATACAACTAAATGACATTTATATTTACAAACTGTCAACTGTTGTCCACGTTTACTGTCTGTCTACAAACGACGTGTATCCTTAGTTAACATCCGAGACGCAAAGATGACGCCATCGTTGCGTTTCCTATCTTTATGTTCCTCATCTCTGGTCATTGTATTCCTTATTATTTAAATTTCCTAGAAATCTCGAATTATGAAAATATAAACAATATTTTAATTACAAAATGTTTAGAAAAGAGGTTTCCTTCAGTATTTGAAGTTTTTAATGAACAAAAATTTGAAGATGTATGAGGTATTCCAAAACTACCCAGGCAGCACACATTAGTATAACTAACGTATTTTATACGTAATACTCGTTTAATTTTGGTATTGGTTGATTCCGTATACGTTTACAGTTTACGATTATTATACATACCCTGTTTTAAACGATATATTATACGTTTTTTATATACATCCTATGGTATATATTTGTAAATTTTTCTACGTTTAAATATAGTTAACAATATACGACTATTTTTAGTTTGCGATGAACTATTTATATACAGTGGGCTTAAATATACGTTTAGGTTTATTTAAATTAAATTCTTATAAATTTACATTATATTACAATATATTTTCTTCGTTTATAATTCCCGTTTAAATTTCGTCTTGGTTGATTTTTTAAACATTTACCATCTACCATTTTTATTCTTAACGTTTTTTAACAGATAAATTAAACGCTTCTGTTTGTCGATACTAGTTAATATACATATATTATTCTACGTTTAAATATAAGTCACCTTAAACGCATAATACCAGTTTACGATGAACTAGTAGACAGAAGTAAATAATATGTATATATTTAGGTTTATTTAAATTAAAAGCTTATAGATACATTTATTTACATTACATCCATATTTTTTTAATTATATTACCTGTAATATTTATAACAAATTCCCCATACACATGGAACTATTTTTAGATGGCGGATGACTTACTAGTGGTACGGTCTTTTCTCATTTCTACTCATGCGTATGTGTAGTATTATTGTTCAGTGTAGGGAATGGTTTGTGGGAGCAGGTTCACCGGATCGTCCATTTTCATTTGTGTACACGTTTTGTTGCATGTTGCTTTGGCGTCCTGGCTTTTACGATATTGATTAAAAGCATAGGTAAGTTTCTATTAATGTTTTAATTTAGCTACTCCTTTAATAATTGTTGCATTTTACAACAACAACTACTGTTTTATAGGTACGTACAGTGTGTTAAATGCTTCAAAACATAACCTTACTTTTGTTTCTTTTATTTTTATACGTATTTTTTAGGTTACCTAGTTATTCCAAGCATACTTATTTTCCTTTTTTTTTTGGTCAGTTGTTTTTTATTTAATAAAATGTCTAAAATAACCCTGTCTCTGCGTCATCTACGTAGAAAAATAGCGCAAAATGTTCAAAATGCTTTAAAGTCAAATCATTTTTTTTTATTCCCAATGAAGATAACATTAATAAAGCTCCGGACATTAATATATCATCTGATTCTAGTATTTATAATAATTTCCGAAAAAATAATACAAATTTAACTTCGGAGCTTTTAGAAAATATTTCACCTGAAATTGAGTTACATTTTGGTTATAGGAATGGTGGTGAACCAAGCGACTTAACCGACCGAACGATTAGGTGTGCCATGCAAGATTAGCTTAAGTTAGCTAAGGCCCGTCTAGGACACAACACATCCAAAGTGTTAAGCTAAGATTTTTATTTTCAGATATATTTTTTGTTAGTTAAAGAAAAGTTTCGTTTAATTTGTTATTCAGTATTTTAGTGTTTATTTTTTTGTATTTATTTTTAGTATTTTATTGTTTATTTTTTTTTTAATTAAATATTGTTCTGTACATATAACAAGTGATCAAAAAAATTTCTAAATATTTAGACCAATTACAACCAAAATAGAAACACGAGTAATGCCTATTTCTGGTGTATACACACCTGCTATGGATAAAATCCAAACTATCATTTAAGAAATATTAACATTTTTCCATGGCCTCTTTTAGAAATTTTGTTTTGATCACTTTATTTAATTTGTGCTTAAAATACATTTAAAACAATATCAGGTAGACGCATTTTACACAATAATAAAAATCATACAAATATATCTAATATAGACATATAGTAAAACAGGATAATTAAAGGTAGATAAAGTAGTAATGTTAGACGTATAAAAAATAAAAAAAAATATACGTTTATAGGGCGGACATTTTCACGTATATATTGGGTAGCATATCAACAGTATCCATACGTATATTGTAGTACATAAAAAAACGTATTTTATACCAAAGTGAATTCGTATAAATATACTACCACTATAAATCTAATATAGACGTATAGTAAAAACGTTTAATTATAGGTGGATAAATTCTTAGTAATCGACGTTTATAAGGCGGACATTTTCACGAATATATTTGGTAGTACATCAACCGTATTCATACGTATGGTAGTACCTAAAAAAATACGTAATTTATACCAAAGTGTGCTGCCTGGGTAAGGTTCGGTGACCAATATTTAACCGATGGTAGAACTGATCGAAGTTTCACGCACGCAACACTTTCTACACTCTTTAGGACATTCTCTACACTCTTTAGGAAACTACGGCAGTGTTGGTTTGATAGAGTAGTCGTTTGCCAGTTGATGAGATCAGATCGAAATAACGCAGACAATGGTAAATCCCGCCAGTTGTGAAGTGGCGTGCGATTGGATTTTTGCTGGCAAAAAGGTCTGTAACTGCTGAAATCCATCGTGAGTGCCTAGTGTAAGGACCTAAAATAATGAGTGACAAACAAGTTCGAAAATGGTGTCGAGAATTTAAAAATGGCTGCACAAATGTTCACGATGAACAGCGCAGTGGTAGGCCGTTTTCGAACCAACGCCATTGTTGATAAAGTGAACCAAAAACTTCCCAAATGTTGCTTAACTTGGATAATACAGTGTGCGAGGTTGGTTCCAAAAATTTTCGCTGGTCAGCACAAAGAGCAAAGAATGCATAGTGTACGGCAGTTTTTGGAGCACTATAGAAAAGATGGAGTTAATTTGTTTTCACACATTGTTCCGAGCGACAAGACGTGGCTATTGTACACCTATACAGAATCGAAACAACAGTCAATGCAGTGGCACGATTAAAGTTCACCCAAACCAAAAAAGTTGATTCTGTTTAAATGTTTAACCACTCCTACATTTTATATAACTATATTGGTAATAAAACTATATTTTAATATTTTTTTACTGGCTTTTTGCCAACGCTTTCAGTGCAAAATTACCAGGGATATGGTGCCCAGAGCAATATATCATCTTGATGAAAGAACACACTTTTGTGCAGAAAATAATGGTGGGCCAAATAAATAACTAATATAAGGTAAAGTTTAATCTTAAACTAAAACTGTATAGTATAATTTTTAAAAGATAATTGTTAAAACCATTTATTTTCGATAGTATTTACTTTTTTTATTAAAGTACATGTATAAATAAGTTCATTTTATTAATCACGATTTTTTTTTATTAGTATTATAGTTTGTTTTCAGTAATGGCTGGTACTAACCATAGAGCTATCTGTGCTTGATATCAATTGGAAAATAAAATGTTTATAGATAGGTCTAGGTCTGGCTTTGAAAATTATGTGAGGATAGTCAACTAAATACAAAACGTCCTGAATAATTTTTGTCTATTATATGCAGCACTATTCATAATGCTAAAAAACGAAAAATACAATTTATTGGTTCTGCTCGTGTCAGGTTAGAGACAACGTTGTGGGCAGATAACCAACTGTGTAACTTAAGTGACACTTAAAGTTCATCTAAGAAATGTTGCAAAGTACCCTAAGTGGGGGAAGACACAGTGAACTTTCGTTAAATTTTCAACTGGTTAATGCTGTCCAGAACAGTTCCTTTAAGTCATTGTACTCGTAAACTTATATTACTTTTTTTTATATATCGATTTTCAGAATACTTGAAAATATCAGACATAATTAAATTTAAAATTTATATGTAAGTTAAATTTCATCCTGATTGATAAGTAAATGAAGAAGATAATTAAAATGTACCAACCTGACTTTCACAACATTACACGCAGACGATTTTCCACTTCTATGATTAGTAACAAGGACAAATTCCACAGTATCGCCCACCTGAAGACTGACGTTGTCTTTGACCTCCGTCATATGGAAAAACAGCTTCTTACCCTCTTCGACTTCATAAGCCAAAAAGCCGAAATGACCCTTAATGGCATCGACGGTTGCCTTCAATTTCTTTCTAACAGCCACAATGTTTGATGCACGACCAGTAGCGTCGACCTAAAAAAATTCAGACATTATTATTCACTTATTCAATATTTCGAGCAGACTTGTCTATATCATAGGAATTTTAAGCTTGTATAGAAGCAATATGGCAGTTGCTTAAAAATCTGCAGTTCTCAAACTAAATATGAGTCTTTTAAAACTCTCAATATTGCAATCAATGAGATATAACATCTATTGTTGGACAAGTAGATTCAGATTTATTACATGGTCTAAGATGCATTGCTTATATTTCTAAAATAACATTAAAATTATAAATAACTAATGAACTTGTAAGAACAAAATAAAAACACTAGTTAGTTGAAATAATTCTCCTTTCAATTAACTGTATCCTTGACATGTTTTGACTTATTATTTGTTGCCATTTCTTTGATGTTATAAAATATAAATTCAGAAAAAAAAACATGTTTTATAAAAAAATTACTTACCTGGAATTGAACATGATCTCCAACTTGCAGAAGTTCTCTTTTGTTAAGCAAGCCCATAATACCAAATTCGTACTCTTCTATTGCTTCACTCGTATTTTCGTTTTTGATTCTTATAAGTCCAGAGTACTCATTTTGGTCAGGATTGACAGAGCGCAGGGGTCTAACAACACTGCCCTCTAATAACTCTCCAAGAGCCTCCGGTAGAGTTATGCTGCCTTTTGGTATTACTTTGACGTTTTCTGCAGAAGAACAAGAACCGGAATTGCCTCGTGTTCCCAAATTGTATTCCACTTCTGTACCTAGATCTAGATTGCTTGATTCGCCTTCAAAATTACTAAAAAAAAAATTATAATTTAGTTTTAGAAAAGGTGAAAGTGAATTTTAGCAAAGTTTTTTTTTTAAATAGGAGTTGGTTTAATGTATTAGGCCAGTCAATAAAGACATCCTATTTTGAAAATTACACATTAATTACAAAAGTTTTAAAACTTTGTAATAATAATAATCAATTAGTTTAAGTAACACTTAGTTGCAACCATTTCCAAGGTCCGGAACTAGTTAATTTATATTAAAATGACGCTTTTGTTTATAATTTTGAGAAAAATATTGCAAAAGTGCTGCAAACTTGAAGCTATATATACAGGGTGTTCCATCTCAGACGAGCCACCCCGTTTATTTATTATCCCATAGTAATTGTAAAAAATTCGCTGAACACGTCGGATGATTTTCTTTGGGGGGACATCTTTTGACGTATATTTGAGGCTTGAACGAGCAACCCCCTATGAGGGGGCGCTTCAACCCCTCAAAATTGAATTGGGAAGAGGGATTGAGTGATACTTCATTTGTAAGGTCTTGGAATCCTTTTTACAACGGTGTATGAAAAAAATCACATTCTTAAAAAAAATAATTGTTTGAGCATGCTTACAATTGTAACGGTTGTAACCGTTTTCGTTATTTAGTCCCAGACATTGTAACGGTTGTAACCGTTTTCGTTATTTTGAAACCACCATCTCTACACAAACGTCATTTGTCGTTTATGCCTTGTGTCAAAACTCGGGTTGTCATTTCGATTTACCTCTGTCATCGAGCAAGTTGATTATTGAATTTTAATTATCTTTTATCGTGTACATCCGATGTACGAATTATCTTAAATATTTTTAATGACCGTCTGATTTTATAAAGCCTGGCTGTATATAGATGGTCCTATAGAAGTTGTATATAGATGGTTTCAGTAGAAGTCCTATAGAAGTTGTATATAGATGGTTTCAGTAGAAGTTCAATATAAACTATATAGATGGTTCGATAGAAACTATATAGATGGTTCAATATAAGCTGTATCTAGATGAATTTTAGAAGAACGTACCAGCTGCCTGTTTAGAATACATCAAGAAGTTTAGTTCAACCCCCGAAAGAAGTTAACGAGATTTCACTGTACCTTTGAAAATGTAACAAGAAGGCCTCTACAGTCACTCCTTAATGTTACCTCTAATACCACAGATAAGTTATTAATAAATCATTTAAATTTGAATAATTAAGTCTCTGTGAATTAGAATTTGTCGCTACCTTATTTAATTATATCATAAAGGTTAGTGATTTTCTATATTTTCATCATTAATCGCTTGTCAAGTTTAGAAAGTTTAAATATAGTGGCGTTCAACATTCTTTTTCAAAGTGATACGAGTTGTTTAATAACCTGACCCACTCCCCAAAATCATAGAGCTTAAAACACTATAAAAATAGATAAAATAATAGGATCATATTACACAATCAAAAAAATCAAAAATGCGTTTTTAAATCAAATGTTTAAATTGTCCTCCATTGACTTCCATACAATAATAAATTCTCTCGAACTAATAAATAAAATCAAATCATTTTCTTATCTTGTCTTCATTTTTTGTTCTTAGAAGTTGTTAATCACATTTCTTCCACCATTTCATGTATTAAAAATCAATATGTGGAGGACAATTTGAACATTTGATTTAAAAACGCAGTTTTGATTGCTCGATGACAGAGGTAAATCGAAATGACAACCCGAGTTTTGACACAAGGCATAAACGACAAATGACGTTTGTGTAGAGATGGTGGTTTCAAAATAACGAAAACGGTTACAACCGTTACAATGTCTGGGACTAAATAACGAAAACGGTTACAACCGTTACAATTGTAAGCATGCTCAAACAATTATTTTTTTTAAGAATGTGATTTTTTTCATACACCGTTGTAAAAAGGATTCCAAGACCTTACAAATGAAGTATCACTCAATCCCTCTTCCCAATTCAATTTTGAGGGGTTGAAGCGCCCCCTCATAGGGGGTTGCTCGTTCAAGCCTCAAATATACGTCAAAAGATGTCCCCCCAAAGAAAATCATCCGACGTGTTCAGCGAATTTTTTACAATTAGTAATCTATCATGAGATCATGAGTCGTTAAGGCTGTTTCACCGGTTTTCGTTTTGGCAAAGTTGAGAGAGCCCTCATCCATTTCATAAAGTAAGTCTACACGTAGGCACTTTCTTTATTTCTGAACAACAATTACGTGTAATAACTTCTCTCTTGTTTCCTCCCGCAGTCAAATTGAACGTCTCTCTCTATCGGCATTTACTACACCGGAGACGCGGACTGGCCGAATTGGTCTGTGTATTGCATATATTTGCAGAATATAATAATTTGTTACTTTCCCTAATATTTGCATTACACGACTTGGCAACAAAACTGCCTTCGCCCAGCTCAACGATCACGGCGCTAGCCGTGTCTTGCCAGTCCAAAGGGAAGCAGCATTGCCGGATTGTAATATTTATCGGTGGTTCTGTCGGTTCCGTAATTCGCGAACTTAAATCACAAATAAAATTATTTTTGAGAAACAGTAAAAAGTATTTAAATAATAATTTTGTTGAATTTAGAAAAATAAAATGACTTTCTTTGTTATTCAATACATATGGAAATCAATAAAGTACACAAGACTGTTGATGTGAATTTATGCTATGTAGATAATAAAATGCGCTGTTTACGAATTGAGGCAAGGACTTGTGTAAATTATTTAGCAGATTTTTTTATAGTATTAAATGAATCTTACAGTTGGTATTTATTTTTTAAATTAATGATATAGAGGGTAATTAACTTGGAAATGCCATAGGTTAGAGTAGATAGCGGACACTAAGTTGGTTTTAAAAAACCTATAATTTCTTAAGAGCCACAATAAAGTGATCAGTATATCATGCAAAATTGTCAGTATATTATTCATAATACCTGGTTGGATGAACAAATTTTTTTTTTCTGAATTTTGCTCAGTATTAATTTTGCTGATCATTTATTAATTTCCCCCTTCATTTTATCACAATACTGACTGTTTACTGGCTATAAAATAAAACAAAAATATTTAATTTGTACAATTTATTTAATCGGCCTTCGATTTTTTTATAAATAAAAAAACAGAAAAGTAATTAGGAAGAATTTTTTAAAATTGCTTCTAAAATATATTTATGATAAAAATCCTTTAATTTTGGTTTGATCGCTTCCCAAAATTTATCATCCCGTGGAATTTTTTCTGTGAGCATTCCTAATGGAGTCCATACATTAAAAAAACAGTACTGTGCTCCCGTTATTGCCAGTTGTCCTTGAACCTGATAAAAATAATTATGGTTTCTCTTTAAACTGTATGTACCATTTTTTTCTTCCAAATATTTAATCTTTCCTTCTGCAACTCCCATTTCGGGTGTCATTGTGGCACATGAGAAAGGACATTTTATTTCGATTATTTCTGACGTGTTTATTACTCCATCCGGACTTGCCCCCAGAAAAGGAAGTTTATCGTAGATATATAAACCACAATCTTTAACCTCTTTCTGAAAATGTTTTTCAAATGCTTCTTTGGCATGGCTTTCATGTTCTTTGCCCCAATTAGTTGCTTTGGAATTTGTGAATGAAGAAAACAAAATGTTATGAACAGTTTTTTTCGGGTCCGTGGTTTTCTTTAATTTGCATATTATGCCGAAATTTGAAGCAGTAAGCATATTACTTCTATATTCTCTCCAACAGGTGTTCCTGGCTTGCCCTCTTGTTTTAATTTCAATTTCTAGTATTTCGGCTCTTGAATTTGGTAAACTGTCCAAAAACTTTTGTTTTCTATCTTCTAAATCTAGAATATCATTATCCGGCATTCCATACTCCTTATCGGCAGGTGCGGTTGTTTTCTTTTTTTTTATCTGGGGTCCTCTGAGAGATCTTTTGCTTCTCTTATTCTTTAACTTGGCGATGAACGACTGTGAGTGTATTCCAAGTTCTTGAATGCTTGCGGTTTGATGTAAAGTGGCAATGTAATTTTCTCTTTTGTTATACGATACGGCTGCTGCTTTGCATCTTACACCATAGCCTCCTTTAATAGCAAAATTTATCCTCTTTCCCCCAACAAATTTAGCCACTACCGAATTATAAGTTTCTGCTGCATTATTATTCATATTTAGTATCAAACTTTGAGTATTTTGGAGCAATCTATTGGCAGCAGAAACTATATCCTCCATTAATCCAGAGCTTTCCATCTCTGTTACATAATCCTTATCTGCTTTTTCCTTTTTACAAAAATAATCTGCACATTTATTATGTCTTCCAAAAACATGGTATGGACAATTTTTGATGTCAGCCGATAACTGTTGAACCTGCTGATTAAAATTAATAGTATTTTTTCGGTGGTACAAGATTGCTGATTTTACGGCAATCCGTAATTGTAATATCCTCGATGATAAAATTTTCCTCAATTCGGGCTTTACATACATATCCTTAGTACTTTTTTTTTTACTGGCAAGTTCTCGCAAATGCGTACAGTAATTTCGCAGAAGGTGATTGGTACACTCAACTTTTGTAACAGCCATTGGTCCATATGGTCTTGTTTCACAAATTTTTTTGTATACGCTGCTATCTCCATCGCCGATAAGACGTATGTACTTTAACTTATGCATCACAACACTGTTTTTAAAGCCCTGTAAAATAATTGCGGACTCCATGGCAGTAGACGAGCCACTCCAGTTTTTTGAGCAATTGTGTTGATAAGGTTCTTCATTTTTTGAAGATGCTCGAGTGCAAATGGTACAGTATTTGTCCTTGGAAGCAACGTACAGAATTTTGCCTGTCTTAGCACCAATTATGCAAGCCTGAAAATATTTATATTCATTTTTAAAAAGTTAGGAAACAATGTACTTGAAGAACGGAACGTTCAACTGACCGAAATTATTTCAATTTAATTCAGTTATTATAAATTAGTGAAATATGAGTCTTGCAATTATTTATTGATAATAAAAAGAATCTATATCGTATTGTTTTTATAATGTACTTAGAGTAAATACCTTA